CCATTTAGAAATTTCATTTGTTGTGCGGATCCTCTTCCAGACCCGAACCCTGAACCACGCAGGACGTGGAGGGAAACACGACAGTCATGCAAACAAGCATATACACTGTGGGAGTCCCAGTAGGAGAAAAGAAAGAGAAAGGGGCAGAGAGAATATTTGAAGAAATAATAGCTGGAAACTTACCAAATCTGATGAAACATGAAACTAAACATCCATGAAATTCAATGAACTTCAAGATGAACTTGAAGAGACCTGCATTGAAACACATTATAATCAAACTTTCAAAAGACAATGATCATGGGTAGAAGTGATATTTGTCACTTCTAGGCCTGGACCACAAAAGCCTCCTATCCAGACCTTTACTGTCTCTGTCGTTCCTCATACACAGGCTTGAAGAAAAGGTTCTGAAACCAAAGAGAGGGTGAAACCATGAAAAGCAGAACCTGGGTCCCCGAGTCACTGCAAAGACAGCTGCTCTTTGAATGCCCTCTCTAAGCAACGTGATCAAGACTCTATTTTGTCACACCACTGAGTTGATTTAAAACTAGCATTACCCCAAATAATAGATTTTGCCTGTCATTTTGTTGCCAGCCTAAGTATCTGACTATCAAAATGCTCAAAAGTTCATCTCAAATGTCACTTCATTTTTAGTTACCCAGCCAAAATTATCTGTCCCTCTTCTCATATTAAATATATATCTCTTAATTATTTTATAGCACTGATCACATAGTATTTCATAATATTTATGTTCATGTTTTGTCTCTACAATAGATTGCATATTTCTTTCACCTTTGTATGTTTTACAGTGTCTATAGTGTGTTGTACACAGACATGATATACATGTTGCATTATACAGGTAGTTTATGTTACACATCATTTGTCTCCCTTAAATCACCTTGGCAGTAGCAGGTCATCAGGTTGGTCCTCTTAGTGGTTAGCATCTACTTTGAAACCTGATTTTCCATCTCTTGAATGCTGTCTTTGCTCTGACTCCACCACCTTTTCTCTGTCACTTTCTCAGGCATGCATAAGGGCAGCTTCCCCCCCCCTAAATCTTCATTGTAAAGCTAAATTCTGTTCATTAGGAAGTTCCCACCTGTTATTGACCTTTGGTTATGAAAAATAATTTGTAAAAGATTTGTTATAAGAGCTCAGTAGTTTCCCCACACTTCCCACCTGGTCTGACAGGAATGAATCATAAAACACATCCCTAGCCATATTGTCTTTCAGAACTTCTCTTTCCACCCAGAGTACTACTTTCCCATACATGCAAAAAGTCAGGTTTCATCCCCTAGTGCTTCTATAGCTAGTTAACTGTGTCTTACTGCATTGCCCTAAAGATCAAGTTTATTGGCTTCTCTCTTCTTTTAACTCTTTTGAGGTCTAATTTCTATTTGAAATGTTTAAGTGGTATTAGCTATTTTATAGACACCACATTAAGTGTACAAGTTATTTTGTGCATATTATCTTATTTAATCTCATTTAATCAATCATGAAAAAATATTTAAAATAACAATTACCATATGAACAGCAATCCCACATCTGAGTATATATCTGAAGAAAACAAAACCACTATCTGGAAGAGATATTTGCATCCCTATGTTTTTTGCAGCATTTACAGTAGACAAAACATGGAAGCAGCCTGAGTATCCATCAGTGGATGAATGGATAAAAAAAATGGGATATTATTCACCCATAAAAAAGAAGGAAATTTTGCCATTTGCAACAGTATGGATGAACTTTGAGGGCATTATGCTAAGAGAAATAACTCAGAGAGGGAAAGACAAATACCATGTGACCTTATATGTAGAATCTAAAGAAAAAAAGAAAGAACTCATAGATACAAAACCAGTTCATGGTTGTGAGGGGTGGAGTTGGGGGTACAAAATGGGTGAAGGTAGTTAAAAGATACAAATTTCCAATTATAAAATAAGTAAGTCCTGGGATAGAATGTACAGCATGGTGACTATAATTAATAATATTGCATTGCATATTTGAAGCTCACTAATAGAATAGATCTTAAAATTTCTCATCATAAGAAAAAATAATTTGAACTATGTGTGGTGATAGATGTTACTAGATTTATTAGTGATCATTTTGCAATATATATATATATATAAATATTGAATCATTATGTTGAACACCTGGAACTATTCTAATTTATATGTCATTTATATCTCAATTAAGAATAATAAACTTTAAGCCATATGTCAAAAGTAAAAACAGAAACACAAAACTTACCTGTCCAGAAATCAAAGGGCTCCTCTCCTTCCAAATGGCACAATTGATTTTAAGACAGGCAATAAATGCTAGCAAAACAGATTTTCTGTTGTGTCTTACCCAACAGAGAATAGAGCTCTATAAACCATAATTCATTAAAGAATCACCAAGTAGCGAGACAATAAAACCAGTTTCTAAATCATTACTGTTACTATTTAACCAAAGTGAAAATCAAAAGCAAAATTAGTGGAGAAGAAAATTAAAACTAGAGAAACAGAATACCTGCATAGTTCCATTTCTACTTGGCATTTATCTCTGAGGGCCAGGAAGCACCTGGTACACTACTCTCATGATGACATTTATGTCTGTTAGGTGAGCATGTCAGACATCTTGGCAAAGATTTCCAAAACTGTTAAAAGGTCATTTTCAGAGAAAGGTGAAATAATGACTCTCAGAAATATATAAAAATAAACTCATGTTAAATATTTTATTTAACTTATTAACAAAGAGCTGGTGTGGTTCAAAGTATAATCTAAGAAAAAAAGACATATTTATAGATTAGGAATATTGAAGTGAATGTGCAAATGGAAGCACCTTTAATACAATGTATCCTTCCCTGGCCAAAATTATTGTGTGTATAAACAACAATTATATCTCATTGCTATCAGTTGTCTACACTTTACAGAATTGTAAAATAGCTCCAAGAGAATTAGAATCAGAAAATGTGGAAGGATATGCTATAAATTATGCATAGTTTTCCACTGAAGCACAAAATTTACCTACAGTGCCCATTGTTAATATAAGGATAATCAACTAAGAAGACTTTGAACCAAGCACTGTAGCCAACAGGCAGCTTAAACCAGCCCTTCAGAGGACTGTACAACTACTTTCCTCTTCTTTCCAAGTAATCAAAATACAGCTGCGGGTAGAGCACCAATTTTAGAGTAGGAACTGGATTTGAATACTAACCCTTATCACGTAGTAGCTGTGAGATGCTAGTGAATTTATTTGACTTTTCTATGACTCAGTTTTCCTACCTGTGAAATTGGATGAGTGATATCAACCTTACAGGCTGTGTATGAGGATTAAATTAAATAATGTGTGTAAAGCACTTAGCACAATGCCTGGCAAACATAGTATTTAACAAATAGTAGTTAGTAACTATATGACACTTGGTAATTAAAGTACCAAAATAATCTTTAGAGATGCACAATACTTGTTATTCCAGGAGCTATAACTCCAATAATTACAATGATCCTTTACATTTGATAGTGAATAGGATAATTTTATGTACATTCTTATTTTAGCTTGTGTTCAAATGAAGATTATATATTACAGAATAGAAACATATAAGTATGTGCATGTGCTTATCACAGCTAGTGTCCACCAAAGAGTCTGTATTCCCTTAAAACTAATAAATTGTCCATAGGTATTAACTCCTCAATTATAGATCAGATTTTTAACTTAAAGTGATATTAAATAGTCCTTTGGAAGTCATTTAGCATATCCAGATTGTGCTTGTATAGCCTGGCAAAGTGATTAAATATGCACAATTATCCTTGAATTTTATAATTTTTTGAAAACTATATTTTGTAATAAGAGACCTAAATAAAAACAGATTAACCATAGGAAATAGCGATTAACATTAATACAAGAAAAATCTGATTTAGTTCAAATGCTAATTCAGTTGTAAATGTGATAACTGTCAGATCTTAAGGATACATGTTGTTAGATGCAATATAGTGCAATGGCTGAGAGCATGGGCTCCGGAGTCAGACTGCCAGCGTGGAAATTCTTGTTCCATCAATGATTAGCTGTATAACCTCAGATGAGCAGCTAAATCTCTCAGTTCTTCAATTTCCTCCTCTGTAAACTATGAATAATAAGAGAGCTAACATTTAAGTTTACTATGAGAGTAATATTAAATGAGATAATAGTCAAAATAGTTGGAACAGTGCCTGATAAATAGTAAGCACTTAATAAACATTGGTTACTTTTATTGTGATGAAGAGGAGTTCAGGCTTGAGCAAAGTGACCATTTTTGTAACTGATCTTTGAGTTGTCCTGAATATCCCCTATGTTTACTTTGTTGTAGTCGGATGAATACTTGTCTGTTTTTAAGGAAGCCTCAACTGATCCTGTCAGAGTGCTCAGCTGGCTCCGCAAAGACCTGGAAAAAACTACAGCAGGGTTCCAAAGTGTTAGGTTCAAGCCTGGAGAATCATCGCCTGATGGGGAAATGACCAACTCAGAAGACCCACAGAAGGGTTTCACTGTGGACTACTACAATACCACCAACAAGGACAATGCAGGGAGATTTCATTTTGAGATGACTCACAAAGAAAACCCTCTCGCAGGGTCCAGTGCCCAAGATGATAATGGGAGTACAGTGGATGAAGTTTCCTTCTATGCTAACCGCCTCACTAATTTAGTCATAGCCATGGCCCGCAAGGAGATCAATGAAAAGATCGATGGCTCTGAGAACAAATGTGTTCATCAGTCAGTGTACATGGGGGATGAACCTCCCCCTAACAAAAGCCTGAGTAAGGTGGCATCAGAGCTGGTGAATGAGACTGTGTCTGAATATTCTAAGAATACTACCTCAGATAAGGTTCCTGGCTCTGGTGACAGAGTCTTAGGATCATTGCAGAGTCCCTCAAATTTGAGATACAAGACCACTTTGAAGATCAATGAATGCAAGGGTCCAGATGGCAAGCCTAGTTCTAAGAAGTCTTTCTTCTATAAAGAAGTGTTTGAATCTCATAATGCAGGTGATTCCAAAGAGGGTGCAAGGTCCTTACCTGGGGAGAGAAAGATGTTCAAAGGGCAAGAAAGGCCTGATGATTTTACAACTTCTGTTAGTCAAAAGATCATGACCTATGCTAACAGTGTGGTGTCTGATATGATGGTCTCCATAATGAAGACTCTGAAAATCCAAGTGAAGGACACAACCATTGCCACCATCCTTCTGAAGAAGGTACTGCTTGGGCATGCAAAAGAGGTAGTCTCAGATCTCATTGACTCCCTCATGAAGAACCTCCACAATGTCACAGGGACCCTCATGACTGATACAGACTTTGTCTCGGCTGTGAAAAGAAGTCTCTTTTTTCATGGAAGCCAAAAGGCCTCAGATATTATGGATGCTATGCTGTGGAAGCTATACAGTGTGATGTTTGCCAAGAAACCTCCTGAGAATATCAGGAAAACCAAGGACAAGTCTGAGAGTTATTCCGTGGTCTCCATGAAAGGAATGGGTGGTCCTAAAAACCAAAAGGTAAATTTTGCAACAATGAAATCTGAAGGTAAATTGAAGGACAGAGTGTACTCTCCTCCATGCAAACCAGAGAAGACTTGTGTTGAAACTTTGGGTGAACACATTATCAAAGAGGGCCTGAGTTTATGGCATAAAACTCAGAATAAAGAAGGAAAATCTCCAGATTTTCAGTGTGCAACAACTCCCAGCAACCAGTATGACCCTCCCCCAGACTTTCCGCTGGAATATCCTCTGGATACTTGCAATTTCATCCCCCCTGTGCATCACCTAGAGAACCCTGAGAATTTTATGTGTGATTCAGACTCCTGGGCCAAGGACCTGCTTGTATCTGCATTACTTCTGATTCAATACCACCTGGCCCAGGGAGGAAGCATGGATGCACAGAGCTTCCTTGAAGCTGCTGGTAGAACCAACTTTCCTACCAACAAGGCCCCTGTAGTTTCTGCTGAGACCAACCTTAAGTCTTCACATATGGAAGGTAACCAAGAAGAAACAGAGAAGAAGGACCTAATGAGTGTTTTCTTCAACTTTATCAGGAATTTACTTGGTGAGACCATTTTCAAGAATGACTATAGCTCTGAACCCAAGGTGCCAGAGCAAACCATAAAGGAAGACCTATGTGAAAGACCTGTACCCCCTTGTCCCATCAAAATGAGTGAAGGTGATGAGCCTGGTGGTACTCTTGCTGGGCTGGCCAAAATGGTCACCAGCCACATGAATGGGCAGATGATAGAACATCTGATGGACTCAGTGATGAAGTTGTGTGTCATTATTGCCAAGTCCTGTGACTCTCCCTTGGCAGAGCTGGGAGATGATAAATCTGGGGATGCCAGCAGGCCAGCTTCAACCTTCCCAGATAGTTTCTATGAGTGCTTACCAGTCAAGGGCACAGGGACAGCAGAGGCTGTCTTGCAGAATGCCTATCAAGCTATCCATAATGAATTGAGAGGTGTATCGGGACAGCTCCCTGAAGGGTGTGCATCAACCAAAGTGGTTGTCAGCAATCAGAACCTAATTGATACAGTTCAGAACAAGCAACTCCAAGCCGTACTTCAATGGGTAGCTGCCTCTGAGCTCAATGTCCCTATTTTGTACTTTGCTGGTGATGATGAAGGAATCCAAGAGAAGGTAAGGAAGAAGAGTCAGAAGAATTTGGAAATATTTATTAATGGTTTGTTGGGGGTTTAAGTTGTTTTCTTTCTAAATGGGAAGATAGGCACAAGAAGAATGGGGACAGTAAGAATTTGAAGATCATGCCTGTTGGCAGAAATAATGGGTAAAATAAAATTATATTTTGCCCAATAAGAGTCACTTTAAAGGGGGACGAAGGAGGTATATGATAAATCAAATCTGATTCTTTTTTCTGCATATATTGGTGGGATTGCATAGATGAGGAACTCCAAGATACTTGGTAAAAGACTCAGATTAAGGTCAGAGCTTCAGGCTGAATTTTGGCTAGGACAGCATTGCCCAACGAATGAGAAGGGACTGCTGGGAAGCACTCTAGGGATGTGTTAAGGTGGCATCAAAACTTTCATTATTCTTTTAGCTGGTTGTCTAGGAGATATTGGGGATTTGAAGGGATTTTATAAATAGCATCCCTCTTCTCCTTGCCCTAAGTTCTGAATCAGTTGGAAAAATAAGACTAAAGAATAAGGCAAATGGGTCCGGCCGGTGTGGCTCAATGGTTGAGCATTGACCGATGAACCAGGAGGTCACAGTTTAATTCCTGGTCAGAGCACATGCCCAAGTTGCAAGCTCAATGCCCAGTAGGGGGCCTGTAGGAGGCAGCCAATCTATGTTTCTCTTTCACCAATGTTTCTATTTCCCCCTCTCCCTTCCTCTCTCTAAAATCAAAATTACTGATAAAGATAAGGCCTTGGAACTGCTCACTGAAGGGAGATTTTGAGTCTGGAAAGCCTGAATACTTATGCAAGTTGCCGCCTCATGCTATTGTAGAGGAATTAAGAAATAGAGACTATCCTCACCAGACACACACACCACTTTAGGGCTTTTGATTCTTGTGTCTCAATTGATAAAAGTGGAACAATGGTGGTTAACAATTAAATAGTAAGGGGTGGCAAAAGAGGCTGGGGTTATTTATTAAAATAATTCATGCTCATAGAAACCAGAGGATGTGGCGGAATAGGCTTTGTCTGTTTAATAAGTGGCATTAGAAACCCTTGCAACTGGGTTACTTGGCTTATCTGATGACTGAGAAGACACAGGATTTGATAGCATCCAGATTAGGCTACAGTACACTAAACCTAAACAAGAAAATACCTGGTCTGGAGAAGGCTACTCAAAATGTGGCCTATTTGAACCAAAAACATTGGTATCAGCTGGGAGCTTGTTAGAAGTTTAAAATCTCAGGCTCCACTTCTGCCCTACTGAATCAGAATCTTGATTTTAACAATTTAGCAAAATCACCAGGTGATTGTGTGTACATTCGAGTTTTCCAGTCCTACAAATATTCCTAGGAGTTCTTAGCAAAATGTAAAGTGTCTGTCGCTACAGTTTTACAAGTCTGTAAAACAGCAACTTATAGAGGGGGGCTATATTCAAAAAAGCTATAGACTGATGAAAAAATATAAAAAGAAGCATAGCTCTCATATGTACAATGTGTGAAACAGGCTTTTGTTCCATTGCCATCTCTTAATTCAACCCATTGTATATAAAATACATTCTGATTTTAGATTATTTTGAATTAGAATGTCTGTAACATACTTATCTAAAATGGGCACAATAGCCTTGTAGTCCTTCCCCTGTAAACACACACACAAGCACACAATACCCAAACATCTTTTCCCATTTGTAAAGATAAAGACGGTTGTCTATTTTATTAAAGGAAAAAATGGAAAGGCCATCCAAACTTCAACTAATGAGGCAATTTTCATTGAATATCAGTATAATTTTAAGAACAGTTGGATGAAGTATACATCAAAGAAACTTCCCAAAAGATAGATTTGAAATTTTGGGGGGAAAGAGATTTAATTAATGTATACAAATATTCTCATGCTGGCTTGAACCCAGTAACACTGGGATGTCCATGAGCCCACTTCCTGTAAATAAATTTGTATCCATTTTTTAAATAGGTAATGTGTGCATAGTTCAAAATTCAAAGGCACAAAAGGATGTACAATGAAATCTAAGGGTTTTTTTTCCTTCTCATTCTTATCTCCCATCCTGTTGCGCTCTCTGGAGAAAACTATTGTGATCAATTTCTTGCTTATCCTTTTAGAAATACATGTGCATACACAAGTAAGTACTTATATGTATGCATCTCATTTTAAGTCTCAAATGGTAATAAGGTATATAGAGGTGTCCTAAAAAATGTATACACACTTTACAGCTGATAGCTCAGTTGATGTTTCTTTCTTTTCAGATTTAACCCATTGAAATTAATAATTGTTCAAAGTATATATACATTTTGGGGGGGAACACCATGTACATCCTGTTCAGCAACATATAGAGCTGCTGCATTCTTTTTAATAGCTGCATATTACTTCACTGTATGAAGGTGCTGTATTTAACCACTTTCCCACGTATGGACATTTCGGTTGCCAATATTTTGCTACTATATGCAATACCATGTGCACAGAATTCAAATGTATCTGTATATGCTAAATACTTAGAAAAGGATTCAGGATCACCATAAATGTCTGTTTGTATATATATTATTTTCTGTTTGGATATTTGATATATATTTTCAAATTGCTTTCCATAGAGCTTGCACCAAATTTGCATATCTACTAAAACAATATAAAAATGCATGTTTTCCATATTTTAATCAACAGTGAGTGACAAACTTTTGATCTTTGCCAAGTGTTGCCTTCCTTTGTACTTGTCTTATTAGGAATGAGGGTGAATATCTTTTTAATGTTTAAGAGCCATTTGAATTCCCTTTTTCGTGGATGAATTGTTTGTTTATACCTTCAGCCCATTTTTCTGTTGGGTTGTTCGTCCTTTTCTTGTTGATCTGTAGGAGTTTTATGTATAAGGAAATTAGCCTTTGTGATATTAAATACAGTTTTTAATCATTTGTCTTTTGGTGTTTTGTTTATGCCATATAGAATTTTTTAAATGTTTACAAAGTCAAATCTAAGACACTTTTTTCTTTTATTTTTTCCTGGATTTTGTCATATTTTGGAAGACATTCTTTACGCCAAGATAGTAACAATACTTTCCCATGTTTTCTTCCAATGCGCAGTATTTTTAAAAAATTTTAAGACTTTGATCTATTTTTATTTTTATATAAAATATGAGGTAGGAATGCAATCTTTTATTTTTTTCCAGATGCATACCTACCTTTGGTTCTTTTTCTGAACTTTCTTTTCTGTTTCATTGAATTATTTAACTATTTATTATTTTAATACTATTTAAATTAGCACACCATTTTAATTACTGTCATTCTATAATTTTAAAAATATCTGGTAGGACTAGACTCCTTATTTCTCTATCTCAGAATTTTCTAGGCTATTTTTCCAATTTGTACCCCCAGCCTCAGGTAACCATTAACAGGATTTCTAGCATAAATTTACCTTTCCAAAATTATAAACAATGAAGCTATAAATATATAGTCTTTTACATCTGGCTATTCACACTTAGCATATTGTTTTTGAGGTTTATCCATGTTGTTGTATATAACATGTATTGCTGAATAGTGTTTCATTATATGGATAAACTACATTTTGTTTATTCATTTACCAATTAAGGCACATTTGAATTGTTTCCACTTTTTTGCTACCATGATTAATGTTAATATGAACATTCACATACAAGTTTTTTGTGTATATACATTTTCTTTTCTCTTGGGCAACAAGGAGTTGAATTGCTGCACTTTATGGTAAGTATGTCTTTAAAAACTGCCAAACTGTTTTTCAAAATGGTTGTACCATTTTATATTCCCACCAACAATTTAGTTTCTCCACATTCGCATCAACACTATATATTATAGCTATTATGGTGGTATCTATAGTGGATTTAATTTGAGCATCTTTTTATGTGCTAATTAGCTCTTCATATATGTTCTTTGTTGAACTGTTTATGCAAACCTTTTGTCCATATTTTGACTGGGTTGTTTTCATCTTGTTATAAAGTTACAAGAATTCTTTATATATTCTGGATACAGGTTCTTTATCAAATATATGATCTGCAAATATTTTCTCAGTATGTTTTGTTTTGTTTTGTTTTTACTTAATGGAGTCTTTTGAAGAGCAAAAGTTTTAATGGTAAAATCTAATTTATCACTTTTTGCTTTTTATTGCTTGTGTTTTGATGTTGTAGCTAATCTTTGCATAACCCAGTGGGTTGGTTCTCCACTGGAGGAGGTGGTTTTGCCCCCAAGGGACATTTGGGAATGTCTGGAGCTATATACTGTTGTCAGAACTAGCAGCAGGATTGCTACTAGAGTGTACTGGGTAGAGGCCAAGGATGCTGCTAAGTATTCCACAACGCAGAGGACAACCCCACAACAAAGTATAATCTGGCCCATAGAGTCAGTTTGCCAGATTAAGAAACATTGACACAACCCAAGGTTATGAAGATTTTCTTCTTTTTTTAACTTCAAAATATTTGATAATTTCAACTTTTAGGTATGTGATCCATTTTGAGTTCATTTTGTGTGTGATGTGAAGTAGGGGTCTGATTCATTATTTTGCCTTTGGATATGCAGTTTTCTCAAGACCATTTGTTGAAAAGATAAATGGATATCTGGGACCTTTTGAATTATTTTTCCCTTCATAAAAATTAATTGACCATAAATGTTGAGATTCAAGATTTTTTTTTAAAATAGGTGTTTTTGTGGTACATCTTTTCTCGTAATTTTACTTTTAACCTACCTATATCATTTAACCATTCAAAGTGAGTTTTTTGTAGGTAACATATAGTTGGGTCATACATATATATGTATGTATGTATGTATATATTGATTTCAGAGAGGAGGGGAGAGGGAGAGATAGAAACATCAATAATGAAAGAGAATCATTGACTGGCTGCTTCCTGCATGCCCCACACTGGGGATCGAGCCCACAACCCAGGCATGTGCCCAGATGAGAATCGAGCCATGACCTCCTGGTTCATAGGTCAAGCTCAACCACTGAGCCACACTGCCAGGTGGGTCATATATATTTTTTATTCTGATAATTTATGTGTTTAGACCATTTACATTTTGTCTAATCATTGATATGTTTGGATTTAGGTCTACTATTTTAATATTAGTTCTATTTTTCCTTTCTATTTTCCTTCTTTTGAATTATTTAAACATTTTTTAGTATTTGATTTTAATTTATTTTTACTATATCTCTTTGTGTAGTTTTTGTAGTGTTCCCCCCCACCCCCCACCTAGGAATTAGAATATACCTAACTTTTCAGTCTCTGTAGGATAGTTACCACTTTAACTGGAATGAAGACATCTTACCATTTAGGCCCCTTTACACTTTCCTCTATATTTAGTTATTTCATGTATTTACTCCATGTAGATTTAAAACACTTTTATACAATGTTATATTTACTTTCAACCATAAAAGTATTTTATAAAACTGAAATTTTTATTATTTGTTGTTCTTCATTTATTCTCACTTTTCCCAGTTTCCTTCTGATATCACTATCCTTTTGTCTTAAGAACTAGAACATATTATCTGACAATGAATTCTCTGTTTTCTTTAATCTGAAAATTTTTTAAATTCTTTATTCTTGAAAGTATTTCATATGTCTCCCTTTTCCCCCATTGACGACTTCTCCCTGCCCGCTCCCTGAAATTTTCCTTATTCCTGAAGAATATTTTTACTGGATGTAGAATTCTGGTTTGAAAGTTCTTTTCATTTAGTGCTTTACTATGTCATATCCATTTAGGTTTACTGAGCTTCTTAAATTTGTTATGTCTTGTGGCAAGTTAGGGAAGTTTTCATCCATTATTTCTTCAAGTATTTTTCTATACCACACTTTTCCTCCTCTTCTAGGATTCTCATGACATAAATGTAAAACATTTTGTATTGTCCTACAGGCCCAGTAGGTCTGTTTATTTTCTTAATCTTTTTTGAAGTATAATCAATCCTATGTTTTTCAGTGTGGCTAATTTCCATTGTTCTATCTTCAAGTTTACTGATTTTCCTCTGCCTTTATTCTGCCCATCCAACAAGTTTTCATGTTGAATTTTTTGTTTTAGTTCTAAAATTTCCATTTGGTTATTCTTTATGCCAAGACTTTTTGTGTTTCCATTTGTGTCAACAGTATTTGTAAGTACTTTAATTCTTACATGGAAATTTTCCCTTCTGAAAGAGCTGCTGATATTGGCCTGCTTCCTTGCTCTTTGACTTTTCATCATAGAGTCAGGTGCATAATGTACAAAATAAAAATTAAGGTTACTTTAATTTGTTGCTGCTATGATTCCAGATGAATGGCAGTCTACTATGTTCATATTAGAACAGTTGCTTTGGATATTTTTTCTCATTTTATACTTGGAAAGAAAACTAAACATTGATTCAGAGACTTGGGTATGAATTTTGCCCTTGCTAATTTCTAGCACTAACAGGTCTCTTTACCTCTCTGGGAAACATCTTCATGAAGGTGTTTTAAGCAATCTGATTATGACAAGTGAAGGTTGAATGGGTCTTTGAACTGCATTCCTTCTCTAACACTTGAGGGGTCTCTCATCTGTGGGGCATGGGACAGCACCCACATTGTCCTTTAACGTATTTCTCTCCTGCCCTTGTTGGTCTTGGGACAATGATGGGGACTGCTTGATGATATTACGTAAACTTAAAAACACTGGAATTCTTAGAAAGCAAGAATACCATTGACCAAACAGCCACTGGAAGCAGGAAGATTTTAGTCTAGAAGGAAATTATATTTTCCATATCATGAGCAGATGGATGTTAATATCTTTTTAAATTGAAGGTGATATAACCAACTTTCTTCTGACAACAGTTCAGTAAACTTTACAATTAAGGAAGTCTCAACATCTACTTTGAATCCCTTCTGCTGACGTTTCTCCAAGACTACCTGACCTCTTTGTTCTAGCCTTGGCAGAACCTTTCTGGCCTGTTCTGGGATGTTCTGCCCTCCACTACTGTTTTCTTTCCTTTCCACAGCTACTTCAACTTTCAGCTGCCGCTGTGGACAAAGGACGCAGCGTAGGGGAGGTTCTGCAGTCAGTGCTGCGCTACGAGAAGGAGCGACAGCTGGATGAGGCGGTGGGAAACGTTACACGGCTGCAGCTGCTGGACTGGCTGATGGTGAACTTGTGATGGGAACCCACCCACTGCTTTCCGCTTTTCCAGAAGTGGGCCCAGCCTTGCCCCCTCCCTTCATTTTCACTCCCACAGCTCCCCTCTCTATATCCTCACAGAGCCCTAACATTATCTTCATCCCACTCACATCAAAGACATGTCATCTTATGCTAGTCACTGGATTTTGCAGATTTTCCTGTCCATGCGAGCAAGGACATAAAATAAAATAAAATTACATTAAAGGGCTCCTGTGTATGGTTTTCTTGGGATCCAATGTGCCACAACCTTTTGCAGCGGGGGTTCAGGATCTGAAGAAGGGGCCTCACACAAATGAAAATGCTAGACAAGAAATATGAATTTAGAAGGCTTTGGGGGTCAGGGGTGTCTCTGTTGTGAAGAGCACACCAAAACTTTGGCCAATCCACTTTTTATTCAGTTTTAGATACACATCTTGCTCTCAGTAAAGCACAGCAAACAGGTAGCAGACAGACCATCTCAAAGGTCAGTAAAGATTTACTTTGAGGCTATCAGGTCAGGAAATTGCTTCAAGCCATCGCTATCTCAACATGGAACAATTGGTGCATAGCTTTAACCCTGCTAAAGCTCAAAGGTTCATCAGCCTTCCGTGTTCCTTGATGCACTCTCATGATAGTATTGACAATGGATAGCTTCCCGCACCAATGGGGCAATAAGGTAAATCTCAGGGATGAAAAAATAATCAGGTGGATAGCATAAGAAAATGCTGTCACAATTTGCAGCTCCCCTTCTTTAAAGTGTTCCCTAAATATAGGAAGTCAGAATTTATCAACTCATTTCAGTCTTCTATAACCATGCAAATTGGGAAATATTTTTAATGTCCAACCTAAATCATTCTAATTATAGTATCAAGGATTTGGCTTCAAGGACAAAACTGTCCACCTCAACTTTATCCATGGTTGAAGACAGGTCCGGAAGACTCGAGATTTCTTGCCAGTTCTGTACCTTCCTGGTTATAAGACATGGGACAAGTTACCTCTCCCATGATACTGCTCTGACTTAACCCCTAGACTGCCAGGGAATGCGATCGCGCTCCTCCTGTCTTTCACCAAAAGTGCCGGGAGTGCTATCGTGCTCCTCCTGCAGTGTCACTATTAAATGCTAGTAGTTCACTCTTTATTGACAGATGGCACCTAAGTGCAGATTACTTATGATGCCTAATGTTTGTAGTTCTAAAATTGACCACTGGCATTTATCTGCCTAATTTTTCACAGGTACTATGATTTTATGAAGTTTAGTCAGATTTTGTAGCCCTAAAGCTTTGAAATGAAGAAAATCAGCAAAATTGCCTTGGCAATTTTAGCATAGTTCCTAGGATATTGGTTGGCACTCAAAGGGTTAATGTCCATATCACCCCATTTAAAAAGCATTTTGTTTTTATCCTGACCTTTCTATGCAATTTTATATTACTGATCCTTCCTTCTAGAAACTTTCTCCTCCTTTGGTTTCTAATTTTCCTGTCTGTTTGGAACTCTACTTTTGTCAACCACTTGCATATTTATCTTTCCTAGGACTCTCTTGACCCTCTGCAATTCTCACCCTGTATTATCTTTCCTGCCTGACTTTATGCAAACCCATAGCTTCAGTTCTCTGGTGTGTCTCTTCATAGAATATTATACAGTGATTAAAATGAAAACTATGACGCCAAGTATATTTTTCATGTCTAAGGCATTACGATCTTGAGTTTCTTATAAAATTTTATAGGTACTAAAATTACAACATATAGAGATTATGTACACATTAGCTAAGGATTAGAAAGGCAAAAAAGTAAATGAACTTAATTAGACTATGGGAGTGGTGGGTGGACAAACACATACTGCTATTGTCCTAGAGAAGCATCAGACTTGGTGCTATCACTTGCACCAGCATCTCAGTATGGACTTGTGACCCATCCTTGTGGCCAATCAAGGATCCCAATATCTCAGACATAGTGATTGGTTTAAAACCAATCATTTCTAAAACTTCCCTGGCAGCAAGGAAGACTGCATATTTGATTGGATGATGATAATCTTAACTCTGGACACAGCTTGTCTTCAGAATGAGGTTAATCATAAAAAGAAGCAAGGTTAAAATGTAGAGGGAGTCTGAGCCCTTTGACCTTGTTTGAATTCCTAGATTCTGCTGTGCCTGAAACTACACATACCCTTCTGATTGCCCAATTATATAAACCAATAAATGTCCTTTGTTGCTTAAACTAGTTTGAATTCAGCTTCTCTCATTTTCAAACAAGAATCCTGTCCTGGGCAAAAAAATATTTTAGAATTCTATTATTGATGATATAACTGAGTGTTTAACATCCCCTCCACACACACAAACCCATACAAACACACCCCCATTGCTTTATCTGGTTGAGGGCATAAGGAGGGAATATAGATGCAAGGACATTCTCTCCCACCCCCTCATATCAGGAATCATGCCAACTGGCCATCTGAATAGAATTGTTTTTGTTTTGTTTTGTTTTTTAAACAAACCTTTATGCATTAAAAACAACAATCTTATGTATTGTACAATATAAGTGTGGTCTCTAATACAAATCATTGGTGAAAAGGAACAGGACACGCCCTCAGCAGAGGTCATACAATAGGTGGTAAAATGCTTGTGTTCTTGGGGGTGGAGTTCTTGCTTTGTTGCTCTATGGAGGTCTTGGACTCCTCTGGCCTGACAACTGCCTCTGGTTTACTGGAAGCTTCTGCTAGGTGAGGCAGCCGGACAACTTCAGCAGCATGCTGGAGAGAGCCCTGCTGATCACCTGAATTTTGAAACTGCTTGGTGGTGCCATCTTTTATTTTGTCTATGGTCTCTTTGATAATCACATCTGCTGAAGGAGAGAGAAGACAAAGGAGCAAGTGTTCAAATGTGAATTCTAACTGTCCATTAGCAGGAAAATTCTGGGCAAAATGATATTAAATCAATTCATTTATAAAGCACATTCTATGTGGCAGGCCTTCTTCTAAGGACTTTATATTTACTAATTCATTTGATCCTTTCTCCACAACCATAGAAAAAAGGCATACTCTTATTCTCATAAATGGAAAAACTGAGATACAGAGAGGTAAGTAAATTGCCCAAGGGCCCACACCTGGAAAATGAAAGGGCTTGATACTATTGAAGGGCTTGATAAAAGATATTAATTCCATGATCTGATAATTCAAAAGGTAATTATGGGGCTGCAGAAAAGGACACAGTGGGGGGAAAAAACTAGCAGAAAGGGAATTGAAGATAAGATGAAAAATGGAAAATCCTAACAACAAGGTAGCAAAAAAGGGATACAACCAAGTTTCCTGAAAGGAACACCCCAAAAGTAAGAAGTGGCAGGCAAGTAGTGATGTAGCCAGAATAATTATCCAAGGTTGAGTTCAGAGAAGCTGACATGCAATCCTCCAGAGATGCCTACCTCCTGGACTATGGGAAAAAGATTTGTTATTTGAGGGGCAGTACCTTTTTTATCCAAGTGTTGATGCCCTTGAACCTTGTCTTTTCTTGCCTTAGAGGATAAAGAGAGATTGAGTTTCCTCAGGGTCTGGGTCCTGGGCCATGCTTTGAGATTCCGTGAATCATGAATCCAAGCATGCTTGAGAGCCTGGTCAGGGGTCATGCGAAGAGAAGGTTCCCATCTACACACCAACAAAGCCCAGCATGGATTATTGTTTTATTTTTTAATAATGAAACATTTTCAAAGACTCCAATAAAAAAACCTAAATAAGAAACAATATAAATGGTTCATTTTAAAAAGCCCATTTAAGCTATGTAATAACAAAGATACTAAAGAACAGAGATTATTACATATAATTTTAAAGTATTGGAAACAACTATTGGATAATCATTTTTAGTAAATGTGTATAACAAGCCAAGGAATGTAATAGAGTCCAAGTCTATTTCCAGAGTTCTAGAAATTTCCTTATAAGAAATACAGGAAATCTTAACCAATGGGATTTTGGATTTGTAAACTAAGAAGATCAAAACAAAAAGATGCTTACTTTTAATTCCCAAACAACAGAATTTGGACCTACAAATATATCACAAAGAATATTATAGCATGGCCAGTGTTGTCAGTGGTTGAGCATTGATTCATGAACGAGAAGGTCACGATTTGATTCCATGTCTGGGCACGGGCCCAGGTTGTGGGCTCTATCCCCAGTAGGGGGCATGCATGAGGCAGCCTATCAATGATTCTCTCTCATCATTGATGTTTCTATCTCTCTCTGAAGAAAATAAAGCATATTTTTAAAAAAAGAATATTATAGAACTAGGGGCCCGGTGCACGAAATTCGTGCACTGGGTGTGTGTGTGTGGGGGGGGGGGTGTCCCTCAGCCAAGCCTGCCCCCTCTCACATACTGGGAGCCCTCAGGCGTTGACCCCCATCACCCTCCAATCGCAGGATCGGCCCCTTGCCCAGGCCTGACACCTCCGCCAGAGGTGTCAGGCTTAGACAGGGGACCCCCTTCTCCCTCCGATCACTGGCTCTGGTCCCCGTCCAGGCCTGAGGCCTCTGGCCCAGGAATCATGCCCGGGCAGGGGACCCCCATCTCCCTCTGATCACTTGCTCCACTCCCTTCCCAAGCCTGACGCCTCTGATCCAGGCTTCAGGCCTGGGCAAGGGGACCATCATATCCTCCCAACCCCCGGCTCCGCCCCCCACCCACG